ATAAATTGATAAATATATTAAAAATGTATTTAAAATATTATGAATATGAACATTGTACTATAAATACTTAAAGTATTGATTTTCGCCAAGTGTCCAAATATTTTAAGTAACACCACTGAAATTACGCGCCAAAATTTTCTCGTGCCATCATGGCCACAGAAGATAACTAACCCCTTAACCTATGATTTCTTTTCCGACTGTGCATCTAAGCGTCAGCCATTTATTGCTTTAGTACTGTGTCGGGTGACAAAAGCTAATCTGTTACAGATTAATTACATTTAGTAATCCTCAGTCTTACGAATTCAAACGAAGGCTAAGCTTTTCTTACTAATATAACTATTTTTCTCACATCATCACCAGAATCTCTGCCACGAGTCTGACGCGTTGTTACAGGCTAAACGGTTAAGTCTATAGTAGCATCAACTTAACAGATCTCTCTCGACAAATTCCTTTTCACCAGATAACTAACGAAACAATCAAACGGAACAGAATTAATTCTACCTTTTAATACGGAATCTCTGAAACGATTATATTGTTCTTCTGCGCATCCTCAGCCGTCTTGTAGTGATGCCTCTCGCAGAACTCTTGAATCCTTTCACAGGCCTCCTCCAACATTTCCATGGGCACCGTGATCACCAGTCGCATGTACGACGGATAGTCGAAGCACTGGGGTTTGAGAAAAAGAAAAATATACATGTAACCAATGAAAACGTCGAAGCGAATGAGTGCTCGATTTATACTGTGTACCTGGCCAGGGAGGCAAAACACGGACTCCTCCATTAGCAATCGTTGCACGAATTCGAGGTCGGAATTAAATTCCGGAAAACAAGGTAGATCTATGTAAACCTGGGAAACCGATAGCATAATTTATAGTCAGTAAACTGCGAATAGCCACCCTTAATACTTGCACGTTTACCTTAATGCCTATATCGTGAGTAATTTTCAGCTAATTACATGGAATATTTGCATCAAAGACGACCCTCGACTGACTTGTTTTACAGTGTTAAGTGACACGTTTAAATGACATGATCGCGAATTTGTGTAACGGTGACGTATTAAATACACCGATGTACCAAGTTTGCCAATGGAAACTGTAAGTTTCTTACATCAAACTTTTGCTTTATTTTTTAATCTTCAATCTATTTCGCTTCAATCACTGTGGATCGTTAGATCATTTGTAATAGGGGTTGCAGTATTGCCTAATTTTTAGTGCGACAATTTTATTATTTAAATATATTCACCAATTACGTTGGAAATTAGTTAGAGTTGGTTACAATATCGTGAATGTTTCACAAATAATTTTTCATAATTTTACTTGTAATTCTGTGTAAAATTTTGTATTGACTTACGAGATCATTGATAGAGAAAATATTAGCACTGTCCAAATAATTACCATCATGTACATTCCACCATCGGGCATTATTGGTTTCAGTCCAGGAACCTTTATTACACAATTGTACGCCAATTTTGAATGGTTCTGAAAAAGCAAGTCGAAATCTAATTACTGCGTTATGCGAAAAATACTTATTTTTTCGGTCGAATATAGAAGACGTTAATTTTAACGCACCTAATTATTAGTAATTACAAATTTATTCACATCCACTGACAGACGTTTTCACGAAATTTATGAAAAGTCTAAAGTGTGAAAACTAAAGTGTAATAAATCGGAAACTGAGCAATGGGTGCTTCATCGAAAAATGATAAAATTAGGGAAATTTAACCCTTTGCACTCGGAGGTGATTTTGCTGTAGGAAAGGTTGCAAATCGGATCTTTGAAATTTTCAAAAACTAACGTAGAAATAAATTGTACTATTTTATCTAAATATTCAATGCACTCTCTATTTCACTATGATAAACAAATTTACGAAGGCCCATAGATCTGCTCTCTGTCTTCATTAATTATTTACCAAGTGACGGTTATTGAACGTCGCTTCTCAGTCACCACTCGATTGCAAAGGGTTAATATCTCCTTGTTATTTTCGCTTTATGAAGATTAGTCGCAAAGCTAAAATAATATATAATAATGAAAAATAAAGAAAAATAAAATTGAAACTCTTTCCGGTTTCTCTGAAATAACAAGAAAAAAAACCCACATGCAACGTCGTCATGGTGCCTTCATAAAATTCCTGTGGCGTGTTCTTCAAAATTGCAGGCAGAGCACCTTGAATAAGCGTATTACTTCCGATAATTTTCTGACTTAAACAGTTAAGAGCTTTCCTTATCTGCACAAAAAGAAAAAAAAAGAAGAATAAATCATATCTTTACTATTACAAATCTCTACAAAGTAAAAAAAAACGCACATTAAAGTTTCTTCGAAGTTAGGTTCAACTTTATCCAGCAATTAGCCTTTACTCGACTCATCCGTTCCTTCCGTTTCCTTCACTTTTTTTTTGTCTCTGTCAAAATTAAGATTCGAGCAAAGTTGAGAACGCGACGAACAATGCCAAGAGGCGAACTTTAACAGCGGGATAAAGTTTAATCAATGAAATTTAACCCAATCGCGGAGAGGCACGATACAGAAACGGACCTGGTCGTTCTTGTTACGGAAACAATAGGAACGGAGAAGCAAGTATTTTCAAGCTGTCCCGTACATAACGTATCGTGTATTTACCCACCTCCTTTTCCAGAACGTTCTGGCGATCGTGAATGATTATCCAGCCCATACGCCAGCCTGGTACTAAAAATCTGAAACACCAGTGAAGATTTTTTCTTTTCTTTCTTCTTGTAATTAGTAGTTAACGGACAGCGATACTAGCGCCGCTTTGACTTTTTTGGCTCACTTTAAAAGATACTTATTTCTTCCGTTCATAACTGATAAACTGCTGCTGTTCTGAGTGCAGATTTGATTTGGATTGATCGAAGATCGTTTAAGGGAGTATATCACCCTAAGGCGCCTAAAAATAGGTAAAGTTTGGGAATTATTTTTGCAGGTAACTACTGAATGAAAAGTGTCAATTTTTTGAGGGGATGTGATTGTAACTTTCAGCTTTTTTCTCCAATTTTTAGATAGGAAAAGTGGTGCAAGATGGAGGAGTGGCAATTTGTGAATAATACCTCTATTTTGTAACATTTCTTTTTTTGAATTAGAGAAGAAAGGTGAAAGTTGCAGTTATATCTTCTGAAAAAATTGGCACTCTTCATTTAGTAGTTATATATAAAAACAATTCTCGAACTTTGCATTTTTAGACGCTTCAGGGTGGTTAGTCAATTATTTCATTGTTAAATGGCAAATTACATATGGCAGTTAACTGAGGATCAAGATTAAATTCCACTGACTTCTTAGTTGTAAAAAAATTTCCAACCAAATTGCAGTAAAAAGTGATTTCGAGGACTTTCTTCAATAAAACCATAAAAAACCTCGTTTTGAAACAATAAATACTATATTTTTACTAAAAACACACAGGTTGAAAATTTCATCAACATCTCGGTCCTTCCATTTCATCTGCAACAATCTAATACATTTCTTCGAATTTTCGTGTTACCGAAACCTCCCTTATTATTGTGTTTTACCAGCACACCCGCGATACATATTCGTGGCTTGTGCTACGTGTAAACGTGAGCCACCGCAAAAATTCTCGTCCGACCACCAAGAATTCGCTGTAATATTGA